CTTTGACCCTGAAGATGTCGACATGATGCGTGCAACAACTTCCTGACATGTGCGGCACAAACATGACTGAACCCTGGATTTCTGGAGTTTGCGGAAACCTAGGGGTCTGGGCCACCCTAAACCCTAAGCCCACAGCCCAAACCCTCGACCATAAACTCAAAAGAGCCCACCCTAAACCTCCAATCCTCAAATCCCACGTTCCAGCCCCTCAAATCCCAAATCCCAACCCCTAAGCCTTGAATCCTAACCTTGGAACCTCGAACCCCTAAACCCTAAATCCTAAACCCTGAACCCCAAAGCCTTACACCTTAAATCCGAAATCCTCAACCCTTGACCCATAAGCCCTAAACCCTAAATCCCTAAACCCCTAAGCCCTAAACCCGAAACCCTGAATCCTAAACACTAAACCCCTAGACCCTAAACCCTTATGGAACCCCCTCCCTTTGAAGTGCAGCTCAGGTGCCGGATCTGCAGTTTCCACTGCGACGGACGTGGCCAAAGCGGTTGAGAAGCAGGGTTTGGCTACAATCACGAAGCTGGAGACCTCTTTTCCAGAGGCCGCCAGGATCGGTTTTAGGGTTTGGAGGGTTCATAGGGTTTATAGGGTTTATAGGGTTTGTAGGGTTTGTAGGGTTTGTCGGGTTTGTAGGGTTTAGGTAGGGTGGAGGCTGATTACCCCCCAAACCGCCTTCAGCCCGTAGCCTTAAGCTCAACAATCTGAAGGGCATGTTTCTGGCAATGCGCAAGCATTCTATGCTTCAATTCTAGAGACTTTTCAAAGTCTGTTAAACAGATAATTTGGGGGAAGGGCACAACCAAATTGGGCGCAATAATTCGAACTTTGAATGAGCCCTCAGCCCGAAAGCCCGAAACCATGCAGCCTCATGCCTGAGCCTGCAGCCTTTTGGACTTCAGCCCAAAACCCAGAATCCTAGACCTTGAACCTTAGACCCTGAACCATAAACTTGTCACCCCAAACTCCAAAGCCTCAATGCTACATTCCAAAGCCTCAGAGGTCGGTGGTCGCGGAGTACCGCGATTTGCTGCAACGTTGACGGCGCCCTGGCCGTATCCGGATCCCAGCAGCTA